CTGGAACAGGTTGCCCAGAGAAGCTCTGGAAATGTTCAAAGTCAGGTTGGATGTTCCTGTCCATGACAGAAGGGTTGGTCTGGATGATCTTTAATTGTAAATGTCAAAGTCATTCTGTGATTCTACAATTTTATGAATAGAAGCAGGAATAGAAAAATAAAAGTGTTGAAATAAAGATAAGGTGAGTAAATTCCAAGGGTCATGATCAAGCATGGAAAATCAATTGGTTATTGCAACAAATGAATAGCAAAAGAAGTCCTATAAATACTTGGAAATCTTGATTGTGAGGTACAGAGGAAAGCACTGGTCTTCTCAGCAGAAAAGTGCAAAGACACTTGATGTTGCATAGTTGTAAAGCCCTTCATGAAAGAACAAGAAATCAAAGACAGTCCAAAGGCTGAGAAAGAAGGGAAAGAAGGATGGAGAAGAAAAAACCTCCCATAGCTCCACTTTTTGAAACCTTAACTTGAAAACAGAGCATGCAGAGGGTTGATAACTGAAGATTTCAAATAGGCTGAGCAAAATAAAGAAATATTGGGCTTTTTCAAAAGGTAATTCTAGAGTACTGAAGAAATTATCATCAGAAACAAGACTGATTTTTATGGGATTTCAGTAACAGCATTATTCTGTTTTTGCAGAATTTCCTCTCCACAGTGGATTTTATTGTTGCTGATTCCACAAGTGAAGCTTGGGAAGACCTGAATAAAGAGAAGATACTCAAAAGTTCTTTGTTACTGCATTCGGTAGAAAACTTTTCCCTACGCCTCCAACCAGTTAATAATACCATTCCTACTGTTTCTGCAAATACCCTTCAACTGCAAGGTATAGTTGTCACAAAAAATAGCAACACAAATTTTAATAAGAACTTCCGCAGTACAGAAAACCTCACAGTTAGTGTGTTCATTGATGAAAATGAAGTTCAGACTCTCACACAAAATTCAACCATTGTCAGTGTGATGTACTCAAAACTTGGAGGTATTTTGCCCCAGAATGAGCCTGAATATGTGAATGGTTTACTGATAACAACAACAGTGAGCAGCAACAGAAGCCAGAAGTTTGATATTAATATGACCTTTGCAAAGAAAAACTCATCTCTAAAGACACCCCAGTGCGTCTTCTGGAACTTCACACTCAACAGCCACAGTGGGGGCTGGGATACTCGTGGCTGCACACCCACAGAGGTAGAAGATTATGTCACTTGCTCCTGCAATCACTTGACATCGTTCTCCATTCTTATGTCACCTGATACATCCTCTCAGCTGATGTTTGAAGATTACATTACCTACACTGGCCTGTCCATTTCGGTCCTGAGTTTGGTGGCCTGCATTATAATTGAATCCTTAGTCTGGAAATATGTAACAAACAACACAACCTCCTACATGCGCCATGTCTGCATACTCAACATAGCTACATCCCTCCTGATCGCTGACGTTTGGTTCATCGTCACTGCCTCCATCAATGACCAAAACCAGCAGATGAGCAAACTTATTTGTTTTGTGGCCACTTTCTTCATCCATTTCTTCTACCTGTGTGTCTTCTTCTGGATGCTCAGCCTGGGCCTCATTCTTTTCTACAGACTGGTCTTCATCTTACACAACACAAGCAAGACCATTCAGAAAGCTGTGGCATTCTGCCTGGGATATGGGTGCCCCTTTGTCATTGCAGTCGTCACCATTGCTGTCACACTGCCAAGGAACAGTTACACCAGAAAGGATGTCTGCTGGCTCAACTGGAAGGACAGCAAAGCTCTCTTAGCATTCGTCATACCTGCCCTAATTATTGTGGCCACGAATTTGTTCATCACGGCAGTTGTTATAATAAAAATACTGAGGCCAACCATTGGCGATAGGTCAAACAGGCAGGAGAGGAACTCTTTGTTTCAGATTGGCAAAAGTGTAGCCATCCTGACACCACTGTTAGGCCTCACCTGGGGATTTGGCCTTGCCACCATCATCAAAAACAGTCATCGAGTTTTCCACATTCTCTTTGCTCTGCTTAATGCTTTGCAGGTGAGTTACACGTACGTATGGTTTTGTTTCCTCTATGACCATTTAACATGTAGTGAAATTCTTGCAATACTGTGCTTGGAGGGGAATGTAAACATCTCAGGCAGGCTCAGGTTTGCCTTGTTAATCCTCAGGGCTCACTGAGAAACCCATTCCAGTTGTTCAGCAATATTTCATATTCTCAGCTGCCTTAACCGATGTGTCTTATAAATAAAGCTGACGTAAAGACAACTTCCAACTTTGCCAGTAGCTTTGGGAAGAACTCTGTTCCTGAAGATCAAGAAAACTGCCCTATTATGTTCAGGTGGGCAAGCTTCAACATGTCTGGTCTCATTTAGTGTTTCTGGAGGCATCGTGTTATGCTCTTGTGGGTTCAAGTCAAGAGGGAGTATAAACATGAAAGTCACCGAGAACGGCTGAGTAGTACCAACAACAAAGAAAGGAATTGACCAAAATACACATGGCTGAGAGTTTTCAGTCAGTATTATTTTTATGACATATTTAGATGGCCAGTAGGATCCCAGTGCAATGGAATTTCTTAAGGACACACTATACTCTGTCTCTTAAGAACCGTATCAAAATTGTGGGCTTCAGACCAAACTCGTTTTTTATATTATGAACTTGCTAGCTTATCTGGGGAGGTAGACAGGGAGATAGACAGGGCATGTCTTCCATACACAAAGGTGCCATCTTCCAAATATGTTTAGTGTTAGCAAATTATATGTGTCACTTTCATTAGATGAGATGTACATAGTTTAACTAGGACAGGCCTGAAGAACTCCTGCCACATCAGCAGTCCATTAAATGAGACACAGTTAGAAAAATGCCGTCTGTCAAAGGGCTCAGAGTTTAAATAGTTGACATGGACAATGTTTGAAATAATTATGAGGTACCGAAATTAAAAGATTGGCACCATCAAACTTCATATAATTATCTGTCTCCTAGGGTTTATTCATTCTGGTGTTTGGGACTCTCTGGGACAAGAAGGTAAGAATTTAAACTATTTCTTATACTGTGTAAAAATACTATTACAACTTGAACATAATTGCTGTATTTACTGAATGATTTTTTATCTTTTTTTTTACAAATAGATACAAGAAGCCCTGCTGAAGAGGAATTCAGTGTCCAAATGGAGTTCACAGCAAACAAAGGTATCCTGGTTTGAGCTAAATAAACCCAATCCTGTTCTGTGATTTTTACTTTCCAGCTCAGTCTCTTCTAAAAAGCTGCACATTCTGAAGTCAGCAGCGTGTTTTTGCAGACGGTGTGTGCTACTGGCAGTGATAACACCTGATGTTTACAGTTACTGCCTGGGACTGGGATGCAGAAAGTCTCTTGCTTGTACTTATTCCTGTAGTGACCAAGGCCACTGCTGGCTCTTGTGTGCCACGCTGCGGGTACCGGGTAGTAAGAGGGGTCACAAGGAAGTAAAAGGTTGCACCTCCGGGGATTAGTAGAGAGGTGACCAACGAGAGTATTCCATCCCATATACATCATATTTAGTATAAATTGAGTAATCACGAGAGTTTAGGTCTCAGTGGTGTCCAAGGAGGGCTCCATCCGACCTCCTGGTTTTGATCCGGATCCTGAGTTCCCAAATCCAGCTCCCTTTTATCCAGCACCCCTCTACACTGAGCCTGGGGCTTCCCCAGTGCCGCCTGCTCTGCAGCATCCGTGGGGAGTGCTATCGGGGGGGAAGTCAGGTTCAATACCGGGCTTATATGTAGTTGTATATAGTTCTTTATTTTTATCATTTCACTATTATTTCCATTACTGTTTAGTTTTCTTTTTTTCTTTTAGTTTTCTTTTTTTTTCTATTACTGTTTTAGTTTTCTTTTCTAACTTGTAAGTCTCTGTGCCTTGTTTCCTTTTCCTTCCTGTTTGGGGGGGAGAGGGTGTTAGAGAGCACCTGTCCATGTTTTTGTGGCCGGTCCAGACCTAACCTATGACAAAAGGTTAGAATCTTAACCTAAAAATGTATTTCAGTTACTGCTGAATAGTCCAACATTCTCCAAGCATCTTTTAAGTCAAATACACTTTGTATTTTGAATTATTTATTAGAATTAGTCAGAGAAAGAGAAGACACTAACAACACAAATATGAATATACTCCTGTTTCAACAGTTCATTATTTCACCTATGATTGGTGAAAAATAAGAAAGATGCACTTGAAATCAAATGAACTTTATATTCTGAATTATTTATTAGAACTAGTCAGAGAACGAGAAGACAGTAACAACATAAATATGCACATTCTCCCTTTTCAAGGTTTATTGTTTCACCTATAATTGGCAAAAAATGAGAAGGAGTCTGGTAGACAGTTCCTCTATATTCTACAAGAAATAAACCATCGAAACTTTAGGTCAGAAAACAATGGCACTGTTTTTTATTCAACATTCAGTGGCAATATCATTTATTCACAACCTAAAAAAAATGCAAAGCGAACTTCTTGGGGAAGATACCCTTGAGCTATGAGCAGGAGAGGATGAAGATACTGCAACTCGAATGAGACAAGAAAGATGCAGTTTCTGCCTCACATTTCTTCATTTAGGATCCCTAGAATCATCCACCTGGATTTTTTTAATTGGTATTCCAAGTATTCCAGTGCTTTCTGCAGGAGGATTACTCCTGGAAACTCAGGTCTGGGAGCATTTCCTAATGCATTTTTAAAGTGTCATCCTGTCTTTCTGGCTTGACAATGACATCTGCTGGATGATCTGACTGTGGGAAAACTCATTTTTTTTTCCAGGAAACTGGAAGGAAGGTAGGAATAACTGATAGAGCTATCATTAAGCAATAAGTTTCTTCATTCCCTCCTGTACTGACACGTGCAGCAGAATAAAACAGAGAGAACAGGTTGTCAAGTCTTGGACCCCAATTCTGAATTCCTTTTCAGATAAAATCGCCCAGGCCAGACACTTCCAACTCTAGTTGACACTGTGGAAGCTGCCCCAGGCAGTGAGAATTGGCATATCTCCTTGGCAACTCTGTTGATAAGGAATAAATAAAGCAAGATCAAAGTCTTTGATCAAACTTTTTAGATGTGATTCATTAATCACCCTCCCCTACCATCTTAAAATACAGGTGACAATGCACGAAACTGCCTAATTTCCCCCACCATTGTACAACTTAATAAATGGAGGTCAATTGAATAGAAAAATATGTTTTCCATATTTTTTAGCACATTTTTTAAGAGTATCATTAAATTCTCAAACCACCCCAGAACTGGAAAAAAAAGCACCCTTCATTTTAGCAGCAATAACTTTCTTCCTTCCCATCTGGACTGTAGAGAGTTGTGTTCCAATGCCCTCTAGTGTGTCAACTTAAATTTGTCTGATTATCTCAGGCTATTGGCCTTCAACAACCATCTCTGTGAATATAAATCTTAGTTTTCCTGCCTGCCTTAATGGATATACTCCCTCAGATAAGGGAGCAGAATTATGTACTGTCAGATATGACAGACTCTGGAGGCTAAGCCATCATCCCTGGGCAACAGTTAGAGATGGGTTGTTTGCATCTGTAGTTTCTTTTGAAGTTGGTCTTCATCTCCATCATAAACATGCAAACACGTGAACTTGATACCTCACAAACACCTAACTTGTCTCTCTGTGGATTGCCTGCTTGTGCTACTGAACAACACGTTATTGTAACCTTTTTTTTCCCCACTCTTAATGTGACTACAAAGCAAGTTTTAGGCTTTTGACAAAAAACTATTTTGTGTCTTATAGTCAAGCTCGCTGATCCTGGTGACACCAATGCTTGCTATGAGCTATCCATTTGCAAGAACGTTTAACAACTTATGTGGGAAAACAGGTATGTGACAATAGACCTCTCCTACTGAAGCACGAACAAGGTTTTGCCTGCATTCTCACTCTCAGGGTCTGTCTTGATATTTATCAATCTATTAGTCTATCCATCCATGCATAGATGATATTTAATCTTTTAATACAGGAGAACTGTAATAAGGCTAATCTCTAGTATATTTTTTTTGTGATTGTAGCATAATGCTAGCAGTATAACTGTCTAAAACAAGTATTGGATGGTGACAGGTTTCAGTAATTCTAAAACCCAGTAACTGAGCTTTGCATGGAGCTTTCTGATATCATGATACAGTGATCCTCAGCTCCTGTACTCTTCACCACCTTGGAGCTGTATTTCTTCAAAGGTTCTCAGTCACCATTTCAGTTATGACTTCTTTTTGCAAGAAGCATTACTGAAAATATGAACAATTTCATTCTTAAATGTGTAATTTTTGCATTCAACCGTTGTCAGAGAAGACGGTGACATTTGGTCAAAGTGGGATGCGGAGAAGTTTTAGGAAGGCAAGCAACTGTTTTTTAAGAGTTTGTTTATTAGTCAGATAATGGAATCAGAAGCTGATCTCTGACTCTACTAGAGTAAGTTTACATGAGTACACTAGCCAGATACAGCAGCCTTCTACCAGAAGGAAAAGTCTTGCTCACTGCTGCCACCTGAAATTCCTGCGTTATTAGCGCTCTTTTCCACGCTCTTCTTTTGGGCTCTGTGCACCTGGGTCTTAGTTTAGAGCCTTGTGGTCACAAAAGGGAGGGAGCTGGGGTTCATCTCAAGAGCATGTGCTTTAGATGTGTCCCCATGCCCAAGGAGGACCATTAGGTCCCTCTATATGCATGAGTATATCACTGATGATGGTAATCATGCTGTAGTATGATCATCAGTTCAAGCTGACATATCCTGGTTGTGTCACCAGCATCTCCTGTGGTTGCTGGTATTGCTGTAATCCAGCTAATATCAGGGCTGCAGAGCAAGTCAAAGCCATCTGGGTCATCAGGACAGGTCTAACTGTCCCTACTTTGCAGTACCAACGTTTTCCAGACTACCTATCCTTATGTTTAACTGTTATGCTTTTTTTTTTTTCAGGAAAATATATTGTATCCTCTTCAGAGCCATCCAGCACTTCTTCTGAAAACATTTCCAAGTCATATTCTTTGCTTAACTGAGGCACTGCAAATGCTAAATCACGTAATTCTGAAAGGACCTCTGCCCTTTCCAAGACACACACAAGAGGTACCTGTGAGTCATCAAGAAGTGAACTGCTTCCTTTTGACGAAACTGTGCCTTGGTGCTTTCTTCTGGAATGATCATTTCTGATTAACGTGTAAGGCAGAGAAACTTTGAGAGGTGGAATTTTACAGGGGCTGCCAAACCTAGAAGAGATAACAAGATATTTCAAACTTGGAAGGATTTGAAGGCCTTCAAGAGCTGGAAAAGACATTGAGGGTGAAGAATTCTCAGCCTTTAAGAGGGTGCTTGGCACTGTGCAGTACTGAGCCATGAATTGCAGTGCTATATACAGCTGTTGTCCAGCAATTTTAGTATTTCCCCTATCAAGTCTCTAAATTATTCCCAAGGCCTGTGTATATACACAAGTACCTCATAGCTTCTGTCCTGCCCTTTTATTAGAGTCTGGAAAGGCCATGGGGTATAGTGCTCTCCACTTTCTATTTAAGACTTTCTGGAACCAGAGATTCACAACTGAGAAGGTCCGTTTCAGATCTTCACTTTTGACGTAAATAACATGAAGACAGTGATGATTCCTGCATGGTCTTCTTCCAGATGGAACGTACTGAAAGCTCCTTGTAGCACTTTTTTTTTTTTTTAAGAGAAAGAAGTTTTATATCCTTAAATACAATTGTATTTCCCTTGATAGGTAATGTGGTAAGGTAGAAATTGTTGCTGCCCTCTGCCACAGAGGGGATGGCATTTATTTAATGTATAGTAACGTCAATCATGCAAGGAGCCTTTTGTATAAAGTTTGTATGTTTGGGTCTCCTCTCAGAGGAGAGTCACACTTGGAGGGCTCAGAAAGTCAACTCTGCGGTGAATGTAAACCATCATGTGCCAGGCAGGATGAAAGGTTTTATATAAATTATTGCTTTACTATTATATTTGTGGAATCAATTTATTTCCAAGACTGTAGGCATTTAAAGGCAGGAGTCCTGCCTTAAGCAGAGGGCTATGAGAGAACCTGCAAAATTTTAACAACGCACACAAATGTTACAAAGCTTAATGTAAAATACTAATGTAAAATACAGTAGGTGGAATCACAAAGATGTAGATTTGGGGCCAATATAAAATACTATTGTCAGGTAGCACAGCCTCATTTGGTTGCTGGGGAATTGGGAACCTGTTCCCAAAACTTTGAGGTGAACAAGGCTGGGAAACTGTTGCCTTACAGACACGTGTGACAGTTTAATATGGGCACGTGGTGATAACTGAAGACAATAAACAAGCATCAAGCAACTGTATTTTTTAAATTTAAAGCAGTTTGGTTTTGGGTAGAGATGTAGGTATAATACTACAACTAGAACACAGAGATTAAGAAATATTTGGAAATCCAGAATCTCGCTGATCTGCATTGACAGTGGAAACTTGAAAATCAGACCTTCATACATTATTCCAACAAAATTTACCTTTGGACAGCCATTTGGTCTAAATCGCTCTAGAAGTAACTTGTGCAATACTGACCTGCTGCAGAACCTTCCACTCCCACCGAGACAGAATAAGCTTACATAAACTGTAATGTATAAGTCCCTGTAGACAGCACAGCCCAACTACATCTGTTCTCTGTAGAGATTTTGTCTCTGAGATTTCACCACACTTCCTTGTTCAGCTAAGCCTGGATCTCGACTGTATGTGAATGAGACATCAGGATATGATGACAATCCATCTGGCACTGAAGGGCCATCTTTGGGTGGATCTTCAAAGGCAAGGTCCTTGCCAGTGTTCCAAAAGCCATGACAATTCATGAAAGAGAAGCAGCTAAGAAATTAACTGTGTCAGACCTAAAGACTTGGGACCAAGACTTCACTTGTATTTATACACACATGCATTTTTGGGGAGCTGACTACATCTGGTCAGCTTGTCCTATCATTTTCTTTGTCCTGATTAGAGCTCAAATCCCTTCATTCTCCTCCCTTCCAGAAGTGAGGGCTGTCACAGGCGTGTATCCGGATGGTTGCTGTCACTCATGTACCTCCCCCTGCCTAAATGCAAGGCACCAGGTTAAAGCACATTGCAACACAGACCTGCCGGGTTCACCTAACCTCTGGAAAGGGTGGGATCTCTTTCCTTACCCATCTTTTATAACATTGGATGGAGAATAGACACTGCCTCGTCATCTTCCTCTGATTTATTCCAAACTAAAGGAGATAGTTGTCTGAAGCACAGAGAAGCACCTTCTCTCACACTCTCTGCTTAGTGTTTTTGGATTTTGACAGCTGCTGAACAACTCTTACATGTGCTTCAAGCCTATGTTTCACCCTTCACTGCTACAGACTTTTGGAGAAAAAATGCAAAGAGCCCAGCACCATTTTATCCACACTATAGTGGCCAGTGAAATCAATATGCCCCAGAACTGGGGTTTACAGGTTGCGATACTTTTTCCTTGGACCATGAAGCTAATTATGCTCTATCTCCGACGTTTTCATGAGTCAGCAGTCTGACCAACATGTTTAATTCTCACACTGTCCCAGGAAACATGTTCAGGGAAAAGCTGCATTTTGAAAAAAAATCACGTTAGTCAAGAAAAAGTCATCATCCCCCCTCCCCTGGTCCATGTACGAAGTGACCAGTATGTAAGGTTATGTACACCTGCACATTAACAACTGTGACCTCTGTTGGATTTGTTAACCCCACGAGCAGAAGAAATTAGATTAATTTCTTACAAGCTCGTGTCCTGTACCTATCGACCATCTTCCCTTTCCAGTCAAATGAGTTTCCATAGTCTTCCTTACATATCTCTTCCTCTTAAAATTAGAGTCACTCTAAACCTCATACATACAGTGCTTTCTGCTCCCTCACCCACCCTTTCACTAGAAGCTGGTAGGAAACTGAAGGGCAAAGCCACAGAGGTGATGAAATTCCGTCTGGAGTTCACTAGTTGTGGTCATGTTCCGTCCATCTCTCCTTTGATGGCAGCTTTAACAAGCTCTGCCAAACGTCAATGCTTGTGAACTCAGAGCCAGAACTTCTCAGAGGCTTTTGGTCCTCAACAGCTAATGGAATTCAATTTCATTAAGAAGATACGGGGCTGACAGGCAGGCTCACGCATGAACGATGTCACTTCTTGAGTACTTTCCTGGTAGAAAATGAGGATAAAGCATAGGATACAACCTACACGAAATCTAGGATCATTTCTCCTAATTTACACT